TTTACGTGCGGTCAGCCAGTGGACATTTAGCTTGGTCATGTCCATGGTTTTGTAGGCGTGTGGCTTGCGTGCTGTGTGGATCACCGATAACTTGAGCTTACAGGTACCAGAGGCATTGGTGGTAAACAGGACGGTGATGCGTTCCTTCTGCATCTTCCGGCCCCGAATCCTGCTGGCATTCTTTACAACGAAGGACTTGGAAGGTAGCTTTTTCCAGAAAAGACCAGATTCGTCCATGTTAAACACCTGGTCGTCACTGTACTGTCCTTCCTCCATAATCTCACGTAAAACGGAGGAAATTCCCGAGCCGCAGCACGGTCAGCACTCGCTTCTTCACCACCAATGTTTATATTGGTGATCTTGTTCCGGATCTTAAACCTCTGTAACCACCCAGAGGAAGCATTAAAGGGTTTGGGCTCTGTAATTCCCATCTTTCGTGCCACTGCCATGTACAGTTCACGTGCGTAGTCCTTAACAGAGCGCGTGTCGACCGCCATTTTCCGTCGCGCCTGACGCACCAAGTACCTCACAAGTAATTTTTCTGTCTTGAGAAGCACCTGGTTGTGAAAATACTTGATCATAGAAGCACCTGTAGACTTTGTGATCTTCATGTGCTCCTTTATCTTGGCTGCATCCTTCTTTATAGTCCGGATCGTAGATTCGTTCACACCATGCTGGCGCGCCAAATCAACCTGCCTTGTTCCTTTCTCCAACTCTTGGATGATGGTATACTTCACCTCGTAGCTTAAGGAACGTCGTGTCTTCTTTGGCTTAGTGCCGCTGGGTCCAGATAAGGGAAGGTTTCTCTCTGGGGGTGGTGGTCTGGCGGAAGCCATTTTACGGAACAATGGATGCGCGTTTACACGGAGTGGCCTTGAGGGATGAAACTGCCGCGGCTAGGTCAAGCGTCGTCTTTCCTCCCTCCCTCCCCCGGGTGGACACGTCATAATACTTTAAGCCAATTACAGCTAGCAGCAGAGGGGGGTAGGGATGCATGGCCAATCACAGGTCTGATACGTCATATGACGTCAGTGATAACGCAACAAAGACACACACTGAGCAACCTTACCGCGCCGCTTGCCCAAGCGGAGGGAGGAGGCAAGGAGCACAGGCAGGCAGGCGGGCGGGTGGCGGGTGGGGCGAATCTAAAAATAGCGTCGCGCCGGACACACTCCGCGTAATGGGGTTCACGTACCGCGTAATTTGAGCACGTGAGGTTCTGGCAAGGCACCGCGTTAACGTGGAAACGCGGAATGCGGGACCGCGTAAAGTGAGGGTTAACTGTATATAAATTTTAGTCATCCCTTATCTTTCTTATGACTTGAGCTCTAATAATGTCAAATATTTTTCTGCTGAACTTGGCTTGCTTTTTTTTTTTTTACCCAAATTCCGTAAGGGTGAAGTTTTTTAGCCATATCCCGAATTTTTGGTCATACAGTAATTACCAAATTCCGTAAGCGCGAATTTCCATAACGTGAGTTTCTATAAGGCAGGGGATGCCTGTCCTGTACTTACTTACTTTGCCAACAAATATTAGGATAAATTGGATCTCCTGAAAATTCACCTGCCCCAGGCTTATTTCACCTAAAGATTATCAGTAATAACCCCATCAGAAGGGGGGGGGGAGGGTTAGGTTAGGTTAGGTTTGCATTAGGGTGGTCAGTTAGGTTTCGTTAGTGTTAGGTTTGTCGTGTATTGTATTAGAATGGTTAATCTTCAAGTAGAACAAGTTGGGGGAGGCAATCTTCAGGTGATCTGTTAAATCTGTGCATAACTGTATTTAGCAAATCAATGAACCCTTTTCCTGAGTGACATCGACTGACTGACTGAAAGAACTTTTTGCTCCAACTTAGCCCTTCCCCAGCACCCTTCCTCCACCCAGAGGTAGGATGTACACTTGTACAGTGTCCAGTAGACCTAAATAGCTGATAATAAATTTTTGGCTATCCAATTGTTAACTTAAACTTTGGAAATAGTGGAGACAATTTTTGCATGGAATCATTTGGAATTAATAGACTTTATTTTTTATAGTAATACTATGGAAGTAAATATTCTTAGTTTGTGTAGGTACTTTTATAGTCAACTTGATTTTTGTATGATATTATTTCAGGAGTAATGTGCATTCTTTCTTCTTTTTTTTTACAAAAACTGATTATCAAATAAATACACTGTAGTGGTTGTAGCAAAGAAATCATTTTGTGAGATGGTATGTAATAAAGCCTGCCTGACACCTGAGATATATGACCTAAGACCTGGTAGTGAGGACAAAAGAGAACTATAGTGTTTTGGTCCTGTGTTAGTCATGGCCAATTCACAGCACCTTCAGGAGTCATATCAGGGGTTCAGACTGACACAATACTGATTTTAGAACCTTTTGTGTTGAAGTGTGAATAAGGAAGGTGTTCATGACGTTACAATTGGTCTTAAAATTAGTGACATGCTAACTGAATTTACTTTAAATACGTAGGTGGTGAGGAGATATGTATTTCCCCGGTCCACCTAAAAAATTTTACACGTTTAAGTTAAGGGATTCGGAATTAGCATGAAATTGATTTTTAGATGCATAAACTCACTATAAATGTCTTCTTTACTTACTCAAAATAATTTGGAACCCTTGATAATGACTTTCAGGAAACACGACTAACAAGTCCATGTTGTTTTCCAGGGGCTTGACGTGGTAAGAATGTGAATTTCATGCATGTTGTAAATTGTCTGGAGAAAGCCAAACCATTACTGTTGTTGACCAACACAAAAGAGTTGGCAATAAACCCTTCAATACAGGGAGTAGTAAAGTCCTGGGTGTGCCTTACTGTGAGAAGTGTTGCGAGCATGTTGTGGTGACCTGGTGTTGATCTGCCATAGGTCTTGCCATTGTCTCAGTAACATCCCTCTTACGGGCTAAAACTGATGAAATAATTCCAACAAACAATTAATAGCCAACTTATCCAGATGAAGACATTTGTGTGTTGCAGCATGGCAGCAATACACCTTTCTTACCAAAATTACTAAAATGCCATAGTAGTGGGATAAAGGTACACAACAGTGCTGCACCACCACAGTAAATGTCGGTGCAAGTAATGGCAGACTTGCATCAGCAGTGCTCATGAGGGTCACCTCAGCTGCATCAGACAGCAAAGTGAACGCTCCTCACACACCACACAGGTGATACATGTCCATACTCATGCCCAAGACAAGAGTCCTGGAATTTATCACCCTGTCAGCACCATATTGTTCAATTTCAAAATTTTTTGGTGTTATCTTAGGCACATATGAAGGTTTATTATCTGCCCACATTACTTACACTTTTCAGCTTTACAGCAGTGTCGCTGTGTACTAGGCGCCACCCTGGACCATCAGACTGTTGACCCAGTAGTTTAGTTCGGACTTATTCGTTAATGGTCGCTCAATATTTTTACACTTGATATGCTGTAGTCTCACGTTCAAGTATCAAGAACAATAGTGAGTATAAGTCATGGAAAGAAGCACAAAAGCCTTAATTTGTTGTTAACTTGTATCAATGGTGAAACTATGAAATGTGACCCATTAATAGGAAGTTGCCACAACATAACCAACCTCTTACTTGAAGGTTAAGGCGAGGATGAATAATTTTCCTGATTATTTGATCATAGTTGTAGATTGTTCAATGTCTTAATGTTTAAGAACTTGTTCAATAATGGCTTATGCATAGTTGTAGGTTATCATGGCAGAGAGCAGCCAGTCCCCCCACGAGGGCTGGGGGCCTCCCTTGCCACACATGCTCATCTAGACAACAGCACCTCATTACTCACTGAAGCTTCAAAGTTTATTTTTTCTGTAAACAACTTATTTTCAGTCTTCGATCATACCATCCAATGTTTATAGTTTATAGAACAATCCCATGTTAACATTTACTACAATATGTTGACAATACTGGGTCAGAATTCATGTTAACATTTACTACAATATGTTGACAATACTGGGTCAGAATTCATGTTAACATTTACTACAATATGTTGACAATACTGGGTCAGAATTCATGTTAACATTTACTACAATATGTTGACAATACTGGGTCAGAATTCATGTTAACATTTACTACAATATGTTGACAATACTGGGTCAGAATTCATGTTAACATTTACTACAATATGTTGACAATACTGGGTCAGAATTCATGTTAACATTTACTACAATATGTTGACAATACTGGGTCAGAATTCATGTTAACATTTACTACAATATGTTGACAATACTGGGTCAGAATTCATGTTAACATTTACTACAATATGTTGACAATACTGGGTCAGAATTCATGTTAACTTTGACCTCTAATTGGTGATAAAATAAAGTACCAGTGTAGGTAGACGCTCAGTATAATTTGGAACCCATTTTGAACATTATTTGTATGCTCTTTCTTATGTCTGCTTATTTGAAACCTTGCTTTATCTCCATTTATGAGAAACAATTTAATGTACAAAGCCTAAAGCTTTGAGAATCCTTGCCCTGGCTGGGTTTGGAAGATCAAGATTCTGTTATTATGGCTCCTTCACTAATGGAGTCAGGGAACATGTGCGCGTCAACTTGAGTGCTAGAGCCTTATCACTAAACTCGTGAAGTAAGATCACAAATATACGTAGAGGTGGATGTTCCCATATAAGCTTTGGGAATACAGAACTGGAATTGATACCATGGTGGGCTGCTCATAATAGTAATTTAGTTGTGTTATTACTTGTTTCCTGTAATGCACTTGTTGACCATATACTGTACATGTTGCTGTGTTGTATTATATTTAGGATATGTATACTTTTTGAATAAGTGTTATGCACTATTTACTCATTCATGTAGATAAATCACTTTATTGTTCTTGAGCGCTACGTACATAACTTAGAAATTCAGATAAAGTTTATAAATGTACGGTACTGTACAGTATTTTCACTATACAGTATTTATCTTGTTTATTAGAGTTAGGTCCAGCTAAACATTGAAAATTTTGGGACCACAGGAAGATTAAACATCTCAGCTTATTTCATCTGATGTTTAAACACTAACACTAACTTAACCTAACCTACTGTAGTAAAATATGCTGGGAAGACTAATCTTCAGTTATCTTCAATTGATACAAAATTTTTATATCCCAACAAGAAATAGTATCCTACTTTCATCTGATAATTGTTTCATTGGGTCATCTTATATTTATAATGTGGACCACACTCCTCAACCAATATAATACATATTGTAACCTCAGATTAATATCCCAATAAGGGTAAGAAGATGGACTCCTCACCTATGACACTGTTTGGCTACTTCAACGAGCGAGTGAAGGCCAACCTGCACTTGGTAGTGGCCATGTCCCCCATAGGTGACACCTTCAGGACCAGGCTCAGGATGTTCCCCTCCCTCATTAACTGCTGCACTATAGACTGGTAGGTCCTGGTGGGTCTACTGCTTCATGTGTTAGAAGATGTCGTGTTGCCAGGTGTCCCTCACTTGTGTATTGTCAGGTGTCCCTGGTAGCGTAGTGTGTAATGTTGTGGTAGTGTAGTGTATAATATTGTTGTGGTACAATAATGGTTTCTTCTTATAGGATTTTAGAAAGTTAATAAAAAAAAATTTACAGGTTTTTACTTTCAGTGCTATGTGAGAGCTCATTGATATTATCTATAGTGCTAATCCTTTTTATGCAGGGCTTTATAATAATAGTAATACAGTAACAATAAGATTAGTAAGAATTATAATGATAATGTACAGTAATACTGTCATAATAATGCTAATAATAATAATGATAATAATTTCATTAATAACAATACTGTAATAATAATTGGCAATGTGTTTCCAAAGAAAATTTTGCCTTCTTAAAGGGAAAATTTTTACCCCCCAAAATATAATACAGTACTACTATATGTATCAAGTAAATATGCACTAAAATAGTATAATAAATACCTACTTCTCAAATAAAATCATAAATAGAAATAATACTGTAGTACAGTTACCAGCAAGAAACATAATGCTTGTCATGTAATTTCACATCAGATTAATTGCCTTCCTGTTTCTCTTAATGCCACTGCTGCCTCTAGCACTTAATGTCCTCTGGCCAAGCTTAGGAAAACAATGGAAACACATATACAAAAAACATACACAAAAAACACAAACAAATGCCAGGTTGCAGAATGAAATGTACAGTCCTCCAAAAAAAAGGTATTGTTAACCATGGGGTCGATGTGTTTCGAGGACACGTCGCTACCTGGCATTTAATTGCAATTCTCAAAACCCCCTCCCACACCCTCCATCACACGCATTGCTACCGTCGTCGTCTTGCCTGGCGAATCGGGTGTAAATACGCACAATGAAAGCACCGCTAAAATTTTTGTTGTAATAGCTGAAATACTAAGTGCCACGAGGATTTTATATAGGGTATTTATACATCTTAGCACGGTGAGGAAATCGAGTGACTTTTATTTTGTTTCTCTCTCAGATATTGTGTTTGGGACAATTTTTTATACGTTCTGGTCAGTATGGCAACCACAGCTCGTTTTCTATTAGGAAGACAGTAGATCGTTAGTGACTAATATCCTCTGTTTTTGAGTTCCATAACTTCAAAACTCTGTAGAATGCAGTTCTGTTAAATGGCAAATGCCAGTATAATTCTGTAGAGTCACAAGATTATGACCTTTTCTTGTTCAGGTTTACTGCATGGCCTGATGATGCCTTGGAGATGGTGGCCACATCACTGCTGCAGGAAACTAAACTGGAGGCATCATTGTTGGCTCACTGTGTCACTGTCTGCAAGTATTTCCACCACAGCATTGATGACCTTGCCCACAGGTAGTTTCAAGGACATCCAAACCTTGCTTATGTTATCATTTTCAGTTTAACTACCAAGGGTCAAAGACTGCTTCGTGTGGATTTCATTTTAGCATTTATCCAGTTGTTTCTCAAGTAGGCAAACCTGAGCAATCTATAGACTGATGTCTGTCTTTTTATACTAGAAATTTGTTTTTAATTATGTAAATACAGTTTACCACAGTCAGAAAACTCTCTTCAATAAAACATCCATGTTTGATTGTTTGTGTTTTAACTTCTGACTGGCCAATGATGATCATGTAGAAAATAATAGTACTGCACAGGCATAGGACCACTTATCTGGCATGCTTGGGAGCTGGGAATGGAGGTGCTGGGATTGGGCAAGTGTGATCGACGTGACCTCTGCATCTTGAGACGCGATTGGTACTAAGGCATTGTGGGTGGTAGCATGTGAAGTTCGCATGTCACCACATGAGACAGGAGAGTTTATCCCATTATTCTGAGTTAGTTTAGTGCATTTTATATTCAAATAGGCCCACTAAATGTCAAAATTTCATATGAGGTGACCTGAAGCTCTAAAGATGCACACCATATGACTTGACTTGAAGCCCAGGGGTTCAAGACATTAATTAACCCATGAGAACCTGGTGGGCTTCCAAGACCTCATTAAAACCATAAGACATACTGTACATGAGACGTTGGTAGCCCTCCAATACCTTAATTAACCAGACATACATGAGACCTTGATGAGTGCTCCTACAGGTTCTATGAGCAGCTGCGGCGGAGGTACTATGTGACATTGTGACACCCACCTCCTACCTGGAGCTCGTGTTCACCTTCAAGCAGCTCCTCCTTAAGAAGCGCTCAGAGATCCTCACACTACGGGACAGGTAAAGCTCAGGAAGCTCATCACCAGCTTTAGTAATGTTATACTGTACATCTATTGATGAATTTTAGTCGATGAGAATTCCCCGACCCAACTTCGATTTTGTTTTTATTTTACTTGTGAAAATCAATAATATTGTGCCCAAGTTATTTTAAATGTATGAATATGCATTCTTAGTGCCAAAAACATTAACCATTTCATCTCTGAAGGTATGTGACAGGTCTGGAGAAACTGAAAGAGGCCAAGCTGTTGATCACTGAACTGCAAGAAGAGCTAAAGCTGCTGCAGCCCCGCCTAGTGGAGACCTCTGCCAACACGGAGGCACTTATGATCAAGATCGAACAAGACACCATCCAAGTGGAGAGGAAACAAGAGGTGTGAAGCTGTTATCTTTCACTTGTCAAACTTACCTGTTAATACTATTAATAATTCTATAACAAAAAGATGTATCTCTAACTCTGTAATAGATGGTACAGTGTGTATGTTGAAGTGCAGAAATGTACTACAGATAATACTCAACCAGGTGCCATAACTACACTACATGTGTGAGTTTGGTTGTGTAGAAAATATGTCGAAGCGAGTTAATTGTTTTTAATGAAATTAGATAGATTGGTTGGTTTAGACAACTAACTTCTTTAAATTAAGAGAAAATATATAAGAAATCAAGTTCAAAGAGCCCTTTATATTTCATGCACTAAAATACATAAAAAATTTATGTGGTTATTGATCATTCAATCTACCTAGCAAATTTAACAGATGTGAAATATATTGTCTTTGACTGTGAACTGTAAGTGTGACCTTGACCTGCTTTCTCCAAAATTAGACTAGATTTCTCTTAATCAACAGCAACCTATAGTCCCAAGTTTCATTAACTCTAATAAAGAGTTGTGTAGACAACAGACACATACAGTGGAATGTGACTGTGACCATGGCTTTGAATATATTTACCCCAGCTTTCAATTACCTTTTCCTTTGCCTACACTCAACCCTTGACGATCATTTGGTGAAGAGGATAAAAGAAAAGGAAAAGTAACAGAGACGTGACCGATCGCCCAAGCACCTAACGAGCCAATCAGTGGTGAAGAGGATAAAAAAAAAAAGACTGTTTCACTAGAGTTCACCAGTCTATTCTTTAGCTTTACTTGCCCAAATTTATTTATTTTCTCTGAGGTAAATAACCTTTTAGCCTGCCAGGTTTCATCGAAGCTACCCTTCCCATTCTTTTATATATTTTGTTCATAGATACAAACACAAGTATAATTCCCCAAACCCAGAAGAACAAACATAAGTGAAACATGGAAGGTTGTTGAAGATACCACAATGAAACCAATGTTGTAGTCACAATTCAGTCAGTGTTTTGTGATCTTGATGTAAAATATTGTCATTGGCAAGGTTCTTGTTACTATCATGAACACCTTGCTAGTTATTGCTGTTTTTGTGTTCGTGTTTTATGTTCCCTTCTAATGTTAACCCTGCCTCTCTTGGTAAAAAAAAAAGATGAAAGTGATAACATATCTCATTTCTTGGTTGTTGATAACAAATTTGTTCTCAGTTGGTGGCGGCAGACGAGGCGGTGGCCAATAAGAAGTTTGCCGATGCACAGGCCATAAAAGACGACTGTGAAAAGGAGCTCGCCAAGGCAGTACCAGCTCTCAATGCTGCCACAGATGCCCTCAACACCCTCAAACAAGATGACATACGCGTCGTCAAGGCCATGAAGAACCCGCCCTCAGGAGTCAAGCTGGTGAGTATAACCTACCAAATGATGACATTGGTTATGAAGAGTGCTCACCTTAACCTCCACTCTGACTCTACCTAAGTCTCCACTGTTGTTTTACCTAATCTTCCACTCTGACTCTACTGTCCCCAAACCTTCACTTTGCCTTAATATCCTCTAGCTGTTGACCTTAAGTCACTTTGTGCTCCTAACACACCCTGTGATCCTCACACCCTCCTAAAGATATATGAAAAGTTTTGTCCCTGTGTTGTTTTTTGTATTTCTAATCATTAGTGAAACTTTTTGAGAAATACTACATCAGTTGACGCACTCTGCATTAGAAGGGGGTGAAGCTCCAAATTCAAAAAGCTGAGAAAAACACGTTGAAAGTTTTCAAGGTTCAAACAACCATAACTTTTTTTTTAAGCTAGAGGGTTCTTTTTTTTATCGTGCAGCTTAATCCCTCTCCTAGCGAACTGTGACAACTGGAAATTAGTACAGTGAATAGTTATTAATTTATTGCGAGTTGAATGAAAATAACCCGTGATGTAGAGTTGTTTGATCTTCAAACCAACAATAATCGCATTTTTCTGCAATTTTTTTTTATTAATATTTGTGGGTTAATACTGTAAAACAAGTTAATGATAACCAAAAACAGCACTCGTTTTACCACCCCCCCCCCCCAAAAATAATAATAAAAACTCATTTGCCTATTAGTATTTATCTTTCCGTCCCTATTATTAGCCAAAGATTTATAATATTGTTAAGTTTAATAGTGTGTAATAATGAGGAAACACCACTACACTCATCCCACCCCCTACCATGAACCCCCCCCCAACGTAATTAACAGACGAATACAAAGGCTTAGAAAGTTTGCATATTCTTTGGTTAAGAGAGTATTCTGATAATAGTATTACAATCTTACTTTGTTTAGTTCCTTCGTTTTATTATCCCTGAATATCGTAGTAACTTGAAGTTACGTAAATCCTGAGGAGTGCGTTTAACTTAAATGGCCTCTTCATAATCAATCATGTACTGATCAAAGTCTTTTTCTGCCCTCTCTAAAAATCGCCACACAGATTCTTCATGAACTAGATCATTGATTTTTGATGCCGGCAACAGTTTAGTTTCATTATAAGATTGAGTTATGGGCTCACTTTCATTCGCATTCGTTGGTTCAGGCACACTTTCATCACTATCAAGGTCAATGCATGCCTCGTCACTGTCCATTTCTACCTCCTCACAGTCTGTATGTTCTTGTTGTGATACATTAGTGTCACTCTGTTACCATTAGACTCACTTTCATCATTTTCATCTTCACTTTCATCATCATTATTGCTGTCAGTGCATGTCACGTAACTCTGTACCGGAACATAGTCTGCAAAAAGGTCTTGTGATGCATAGCAGTCACTTTTTGTATGATGAGTACAGTGAGTTCTGCTATAACGCGTGTTTTGACAACGCGAATTTGCTCGAACGCGATTTATGAATTGAGGAACGATATTTGTAAAACGCGAACTAGTTTGCTCTAACGCGATTCCACTTGAACGGTTGTTGTGGCTTCAGTTCACGTTCGACATCACATGTTCAATTGAGTTATGTGTTTTGTTTGTGAACAATTGCAGAAATAATGTATGTAATATTTGTGTATACAGTATACCTATATATTATAAGTAAATTGTAAAATTTTACATAAAAGAGAAAATCAATTTACATAGCGTTTTACACCCGCGCTCTCTCTACATCACACACAGTGTTTACAGTTCACGTTCGACATCACATATTCAATTGATTTATGTGTTTTGTTTGTGAAGAATTGCAGAAATAATTTATGTAATATTTATGTATACAGTAAACCACTCACAAGGTCCTACAGTACCACTAATTATTTTATACTGAAACTTACGTTTGGTAAGCTGGATTAAAATGAAGATTACCGGTATATTAAAATAATAAAAATGTATTATAAACCAGTCTAACATACCGTAATAAACACAGCTGCTATTATCATCCCCCCCTCCCCCATTTGCCAGTGACAAGAAAGGGAAAGTGACCTTGACTGTGACCGCCTGTGGCTATTTTTAGCCGTCCTTGTGTTCGGAGGTGGTCAGTAATGCATATCTGTATATTTACTGATCATAATACTTATCTCTTATAAATAATTCATTTAAAATTTATTTTTTTGCAAAGAATATTCAGTAAATGACTGCATTAATTCTTGAAACTACCTACAGTGGTAAATTTAGGATATAAATAATGAACAGAAGTCACGTCATGGATTCGGAGTTTGGTCCTTAACGATCACCATAAATGTAGCCTCCCTTTTTCGCGAAACACGTATATAAATTAAAGAAAATACTTGCAGTATATTTAATATATTACAGTATATTATATATAAATAAATAAACAAATAAATTCAAATTCCCTTATCATCCTGTGTCATATACAGAAATACTTGAGTCCCTGAGCGAGTACACAAAAAGAAAACGGAGGACTAAGACATCCTGAAGTGGGTAGAGAACGACATCTCTACTGGGGGACTCAAACGTTTCTCATGTTTCGTGGGCGCTCTAGCATAATATGAATATGTAAATTACAATTTACATATATATATATATATATATATATATATATATATATATATATATATATATATATATATATATATATATATATATATATATATATATATATATATATATATATATATATATAATTGTAAAAATTTAAATAAAAGATAAAAACTAAATACGTAGCGTTTAAAGTGTTAAAGTGTACTGTACAGTGTTGTGGCTTGGCTCAATGTTTACAGTTCACGTTCGACATCACTTGTTCAATTGATTTATGTGTTTTGTTTGTGAAGAAATACCTGTACAGTATATGTAAATTGTAAAATTTTAAATAAGAGAGAAAAACAAAATAAGTAGCGTTTAAAGTGTACTGTACATTGTGGCTTGGCGCGGGGTTATGCAGTGTTTACAGTTCACGTTCGACATCACATGTTCAATTGATTTATGTGTTTTGTTTGTGAAGAATTGCAGAAATAATTTATGTAATATTTATGTATACAGTATACCTGTACAGTATATGTAAAATGTAAAGTTTTAACTAAGAGAGAAAAACAAAATACATAGCGTTTTAGACCCGCGCACACTGTTTACTCCACACTTTGTTTGAAACACGTGAAGTTTTTAAGCGTCCTCAGTGAATTCTGATTACTGTTTCTCCAATTTTGTGACTATGGAAAAGAAGAATATCTCTGGGAAGCACTCTGGTGATCGCATTTC